CTAACAACACATGGTCAAGATCCCTGCCTGACTGTACAGGAGCACAATGTGTCGTGCTTAAACCAGATTTATGTGCATATAATCCTTCAATCTTTGTCTATCAAGATGGTATAATTGCAATGAATGGACACAAGGTGAAAAAATAATACAAAAGATTGGAAAATAGGTTGCCTCTGTGACAGTTCATTGCAATATCATTATTAAAATTTGGCTTTTAATTATAATTTTGGTTATAATTTTATATCTATTATATTTTCACATGATTATAACAAGATTTTTGTTATCTTTGTAGAAAGTATAAAATGGTTACTCATGTTAAGTGCACAGGAGACAAAGTAAAACACTTGGAAATGACAGATGACAGCAGATGTTGAACTTGAATGGAGAAGCAGTTTGGAAATTTTAGTCTGAGAAGAGCTAATACTGCTGAAAAAAACCAATCCAAAACATACAGGTAGGAGCTAGCTAGACTACAATAGAAATGTACAAATGTATTTACTCTCAACACAATACAAGATCCATCTTAATCCAGTAATATCATTTCCATGATACTTTTTTGTATTTTCAAAAATATATGCTTTTGATAAGGATTTTTTGTTCATATATATGAAAATGACTGAAACCAGATGTTTCCATTACCTATTATGAGTAAAATACTGGCTAACAACTAATATATATTAATCATTTATTAATTGATTGTTGTTTGCCTTATTTCCAAGAGCAAATATTTCATGCAAATTCAGGACGATCCGGCTACTTAGAGACCAGTTTTATTTTTGGGCCAAATAAACCACTAAATGTACCTTTTCCTGCGAAAATTTTTAGTTTACATGTTTTATTTTTGTCATTTAACAGTGCAACCACTTGTGATAAGTTACTGCTGTCTTAAATTTCGCAGGTTAACAGCCTTTCTTGTTACTGTTTATGTGCTGCTTATATATAAACATTGTAGCACTTCTCAGTGACTAGACAGAGTTGTAGCTTTTCATCAATGTTATCAGCAGCTAAATATATGTATTCTGTCTTACTCGGAATGACACCAGCATGACCAGGTTGTGATACTCCAAAGTTTTTTCTATGAATATCGAGAAATGTTCTTTTCTTTCCAGAATCTGAATTGGAATTGCATATTTAGCTGTTATGTTTCTCTTTTAATCATTTTCTGGCTGATCATGCATGATTATGTACAAATTTGATAACAGCTAGGATAATTATATAGCTGTTGTTCAATCACTGTGTCTGTTTTTATGCTTCTAAAATAAATGCATGGGACATAATCATATATGTAAATTCTAAACTGTTGGTAGAGTGAATAAAGCTTTTTTTCAGAATATCCAACAGATAAGTTATCAGTATTAAGATGCCTAATGATCTGAAGTAGTCCTGTTGTCCTTGACTTCGATTTAAAGACTAAATAAACAAAATGTATTATCAAGGTGTGAGGACTACTACTTTTTTAATTTAAGGAATAATTTGGGTATATTAATTGCTTGAAAGAAATACATGCATGTTTTACAGTTTTCACCTCACTTTGACCTTTACAATTGATCATTTTAAGGTGACAGGATTTACCTGACCTTGACCTCATATTATATAATCAGTATAGTTTTTGTGACACATGAAATAAGATTTCCATATCAAAGGTTGTCTGTGGTAAATGAATATAAGCAGAAGTGTTCTATTTGTTTATGTCCATCTACTTTTATTGTAAAGAGAGAAAATAGAAAAAATGGCAACAAGTTTAAACTCTGTTAAATAATATGCATATTTTATAGTTGTCTACAAGATAATCTTGATAATGTTGACGGACTGAAAAGAAATTTGAGTAAGTACACGCAGTAGTTGGATACTATTCATGATATGTATGGCGAAGTTAAGCCGGTCTCTGTGTTTAGGGTTCACAGATGCTATACCTCCCTTTTAGGTATAGTAACGTCCCCTTTCATACATATCAAGTATCTTCTACTATTTGTACGAACTGAGTGCGATTCCTCAGTGAGCCTAAGCCTGGTGGCTCAATCTGACCAAGCTCGATGGCTAGGTCAAAAAAATCTTTAAGACTGAGCCTAGCCTGGTGACTCAGTCTTCCCAATGAGCCTAGCCTGGTGGCTCAATCTGACCAAGCTCGATGGCTAGGTCAAAAAAATCTTTAAGACTGAGCCTAGCCTGGTGGCTCAGTCTTCCCAATGAGCCTAGCCTGGTGGCTCAATCTGACCAAGCTCGATGGCTAGGTCAAAAAATCTTTAAGACTGAGCCTAGCCTGGTGGCTCAGTCTACCCAATGAGCCTAGCCTGGTGGCTCAATCTGGCCAAGCTCAATGGCTAGGTCAAAAAAATCTTTAAGACTGAGCCTAGCCTGGTGGCTCAGTCTGACCAAGTGTGGTGGATAGGCCATTTTATGAACATTTTAGTTGGGAAATGAAGGATATTTTACTTAATTTTTTATCCATTTGGGAATAGGGGGCAAAGGGAATATTTACTTTCTATGACAAAATTTTTAAATTGTACAGGAGACTGTTTTTATCTTTTTTCAGTTAAAATTAAGCCCCCAAGTCAAATCATAGACTTAAAAACTGGTACTCCAAAAGGAAAAGAAAGGTGTCTTACTGTGGGCATTTGTCTTGGTGAACTAGCACCTTAAAGTCCAGCTAACCCACAGGCTGGCTGGCTAGTACAAGCAGACAGGTATTTTTTTAAATACCATTTGGCATTTTTAAACTTTGGCATTTTTTCATTTGGCTTTTTGCTTTAAATATTAACTACTTGGATTTTGTTACCATTTGGCATTTTTCATTTACATTTTTTTCATTTTTTGCAACATATTTTTTCATCAACACACCAAAAACACTTCAAAATTAAGAGTTAAATATACACTTTTGGCATTCATAATGATTATCAATCAAAATAGCATTCTATTTTCAAATTTATATTACACAATTTGGCTTTCTGTAACCTTGGCTGTTAATCTTTTGTACGAATGCTATGATGACCATTATGTGTAGAAAATAAAAGAACTACATTTTTCAAAAGTGGCTCAGTATCATATATCTAATATATTTCATGTCAGTTACTTTTAAATTTCGATCATATTTCTAAAATCATCTTCCATTTCTGGTACATCTTATAAAAATTGTATTCATCTACTAACCAACTTTTCTGATAGGGACTTAACACCAAGCAGAAGGGGAATAGGTGATAGGTGGCTAAGGTTGTCATGAAAGGGTGAAAGGGTGAGAAAAGGAGGGAGAAAAAGAGAATGATTGAGAGGGTGAGGGTATATGATTGAGAGTGGTATGTAGAGAGGGAGAGAAAGTGTGAGAGAACGTGATTTCATAGTAAGGACATGATGTACTGGTCTAATGTTTCACAGGTTAACAGCCTTTCTTGTTACTGTTTATGTGCTGCTTATATATAAACATTGTAGCACTTCTCAGTGACTAGATAGAGTTGTAGCTTTTCATCAATTTTAGCATCAGTTTCTGTATATATAGAAATTTTCTTTTCTTTCAATAATCTGAACTGGAATTCATTTTTAGCTGTTAGGTTTCTTTTTATCCTTTTCAGGCTGATCATGATTTTGAGGATGATTTACAAATTTGAGGATATTAATATACTGTTGTTCAATCACTGACAACTGTCCACCAGCTTTCAAATGAAGTGGATGTAAGCAATTATAAGCCACTGTACAGTCTTCAAAATTGTGAAAAATACACTGTGTAGTCAGCTATAAAAGGCCCCATCATGAAAATGTGAAACAATTCAAACAAGAAAAATAACAGCCTATTTATTAAGCTTCATGTTTATGTTGAGCATGTTGGGGACAACCTGCCAGATAGAGAATGGTCCATCTCCTCTGAAAATAAAGATGAACAAACAAAGACAACTAACAACACATGGTCAAGATCCCTGCCTGACTGTACAGGAGCACAATGTGTCGTGCTTAAACCAGATTTATGTGCATATAATCCTTCAATCTTTGTCTATCAAGATGGTATAATTGCAATGAATGGACACAAGGTGAAAAAATAATACAAAAGATTGGAAAATAGGTTGCCTCTGTGACAGTTCATTGCAATATCATTATTAAAATTTGGCTTTTAATTATAATTTTGGTTATAATTTTATATCTATTATATTTTCACATGATTATAACAAGATTTTTTTTATCTTTGCAGAAAGTATAAAATGGTTACTCATGTTAAGTGCACAGGAGACATAGTAAAACACTTGGAAATGACAGATGACAGCAGATGTCGAACTTGAATGGAGAAGCAGTTTGGAAATTTTAGTCTGAGAAGAGCTAATACTGCTGAAAAAAACCAATCCAAAACATACAGGTAGGAGCTAGCTAGACTACAATAGAAATGTACAAATGTATTTACTCTCAACACAATACAAGATCCATCTTAATCCAGTAATATCATTTCCATGATACTTTTTTGTATTTTCAAAAATATATGCTTTTGATAAGGATTTTTTGTTCATATATATGAAAATGACTGAAACCAGATGTTTCCATTACCTATTATGAGTAAAATACTGGCTAACAACTAATATATATTAATCATTTATTAATTGATTGTTGTTTGCCTTATTTCCAAGAGCAAATATTTCATGCAAATTCAGGACGATCTGGCTACTTAGAGACCAGTTTTATTTTTGGGCCAAATAAACCACTAAATGTACCTTTTCCTGCGAAAATTTTTAGTTTACATGTTTTATTTTTGTCATTTAACAGTGTGAAAAATACACTGTATAGTCAGCTATAAAAGGCCCCATCATGAAAAATGTGAAACAATTCAAACAAGAAAAATAACAGCCTATTTATTAAGTTTCATGTTTCATGTTTATGTTGAGCATGTTGGGGACAACCTGCCAGATGGAGAATGGTCCATCTCCTCCGAGAAAATAAAGATGAGCAAACAAAGACAACTAACAACACATGGTCAAGATCCCTGCCTGACTGTACAGGAGCACAATGTGTCGTGCTTAAAAGGGGGTACCGTACACCTAAGAAAAGATAACTCTTACTGAAATTCTGAATTAACTTACGTCAATATAGCGTTTTAAAATACGCCTCATATTACAAGCGTTTTATTGACCTTGAATAGTTGTTTACCTGTTAATATGAAGCAGACGATACATCAATGTTATAATGGAACAGCGTAAACGTGATCCGTTTGGTAAATTTTCGAGGTCTAAATCTGCCGATAAGAAATCAAATCGTTCAGATTACTTCAAATGGTTAAATGATGGCAGGAAATTGGAAGATTCTCCGCAAGTCGGCTTGCGTAATGATCATGGCGATTACGTATACGAGTTTCTTGATGTTGGGGCCGAGGCTGAATTGGAAGATGATAACAAGTCTGATGTGTCAAAATCTTGGACAATGGGGAGAAGAATTGTTGAGTTGAATGTCCTAGCAAAAGGAATGTATTGCTGCACTTGCAAGTGTCCGCTTTACCTGTCAAATATTGTAGGAGAACGATTGTTTGGGCTAGGTGGTCTACTGATGGTGGATTGTGAACTGTGTCATACTGTAACTGATGTCCAGTTTGGGAAGAGGGGCCATCTGGAAGTTATGACATCAACACAAAAGCTTCCATAGGTAGGTATAGAAACTATATGATTATATCACATGCTTGTAAATTATAATAGCCTGTATGATGCTAATATTTACAGTTTTACTGTTTACCTTTATAATTAACATGTTGCATTGTTTATTTTTCATAATTATATTTAAATGCATTCATGATTTTTGTTTAATAAATAGATTAATATTGAGTCCTCGGGGGCAATTACAACTAATGTGTCTATATATATAGCTAACTCAACAGTGCATGCTGCTTGTATACTTGGGCAAATTGGGGTGTTAAGGAAACTTTTTAGATTAAGGTATATAGGATTTTTTCTGAGACAAATGCCTGTGCCTTATAACAAATTAATTGTTGAAAACATTGTCATTGTTCAATGAACATCAACAACTTTCAACCCCTCCCTTCTTATCTTTTTCATAGTTAAAGTAGGCTTTGAAAAGAGTTATAATAACTAATTATAAACTGTGAAATATTTTTTTTAGGGCTTGGCCATTAAATGTACAACTATATGTACATCATCATATCATGTAAATATTCTTAGATGATGTTTTGTAAGCCAAGTCAGAGAAATTAGCACAGGACTGTCAGCCTGTGTCCTGTTAATATATCTTCAGTCTAGGAAATTTTAAAGAATTTTACAATTTTAAGAGAAACAAATTACCATCTTTTCTTTGTTTATAACACAACTGTTTCTTAGTCTTAGAAATGCAGGTGTGTACATTTTCCATTATTAAGACATCAATTTTCTTTCTCAATTTTAATAATACCTCATATTCTATTAAAGGAATGATACATGCAGGGATGGGCCCAACTCATCTGCAGAACTTTCTAGCAGAATGTAACCTGCCATCCATTACAGAGAGCACATTAAGGAAAAAAGAGAAAGAATTAAGTGGACAGATTAAAAATGTAACAATCCAGTCGTGCAATATGGCACAAAGAGAGGAAAAGTCACTCAGCACAAATGGCAATGTAAGTATTAAATGTATGCACACAAAGTGGAATATCCAGACTGGATGCCCCTTTCTAGAAAACTAAGTCTTTTTTACCCCCCCCCCCCCCCAAAAAAAAAAATCCTCATATGGTATAACTTTTCATGGAGTACATCTAAAAAGTCCTAGATCCTAGATTTAATTCAAGGGACTTAGGTAATATATATATGAGAATTATAATGCAATTTGATCATGTAATGCTACATTGTATATACAGTAAATATTGTCCTAATTACAAAAAATACAATGATCAGTTAGGTATAAGTGTGAGACAGACAGAATAAACAACTATACATGTACAGATCAAGACTTTAAAAATAATTTCTAATTGTGTATTTGGTGTGCAGTCACTGCAAATGTTTGTTTCTGCATACATATGCATCCAAAAGATTTGTTTGTGTTCTTAATAATGTATTTGTAGCTTACTACAAAACTAGGTATCCTAAAGGTGAAGGTAAATGTTTAAGGTCAATCTATAAAAAAACTTGCTGGGACTTTTTTTTATTAGAAATGCAATCTTTTCTAGATTGAAGCAAGTTTTGACGGTGGCTGGCAAAGAGAGGCTCCGGTTGGAATTATAATAGTAAAACAGGTAAATAAACAGCATTCATATAATTTTTATTATATAATTTAATGTCTGACATTCATGATTTAATTACTGTATTTTGTTAAATTTTGCTGAATCAATTATTAATATAAATAACTTAATTGGACAAACAATTAATTTCACTATTTAGTGTGATATAAGACATGTAAGAAGCTGTAGTTAAAGAAATATCTTCCCATACTTATTTTTATTCAATCCCTAGGCTAGATCTCTTTAACTTACCTGGTTCAATTATAGCAAATAGGTGAGCTTTTGCCATCATTTTGCATACATTATAGAAGTAAGATGTGTTACATGATTGCCAGTGACTCAACTGTCCACCAGAGCTCAAATGAATTGGAAGTAGGCAATTATAGCTAGACAACTATAAAACCTTCAACAATGAGAAAAACTTATATCCAACATGAAAAATACCAAACAATTCAAATGAAAAAACTAACGGCGTAAATAATAAAAAAACAATTTATGAAGAAAATATGACAGATATAAACTAACAACAACCACTGAACTACAGGCTCTTTATTATCAATATCTGTCCGTCATATTAATCTGTAACATTGCATCTGTGAACCTTTCTTTAAAATATCCATTATCCTACACCCCTAAACAAATTGAAACCAAACTTCAAAAAAATATTTACTAAACTGTTTATCATTGCATCATGTATGTAATACCTTTTACTTTAATTCTTGCAGGACATGCAACTTTTATTGGAAAGGAGACAGGAAAGGTGTTGTCCTTTGATTTAAGAAGTAAGACTTGTAAGGTTTGTGAATTCCATCTTAATAGAAAAGAGACTGTTCCAGAGCATGAGTGTCAGTTGAATTGGCATGGCTCTAGTAAATCCATGGAGGCAGATATGGCGGTGTCTATGGCCCACAGATTAAAAGATGATGAATGTGAAATTAATGGTATGTTTCATATTCAAAATAAAGAACTTTGAAATACAATTTCATGTAATGAGTTCCCCAAAATGCATTGAAAATATCATATAAAGGGAAATAACTCTTATTTCAACAATACTTTCAAATTTGAAAGGTGAGTATTTTGTGATTTTCACAGGAAACTAAGATTTTGTTCTTACACTTTTATGACAAAGAATCAATTAATTTTGTTGTTAATGATATAACATAACCAATGTCATGTAAAAATCCAGTTTATATTTATTTTAGTTGCTTTATTTACATTAGCTACATGTAATTAAATAAGGCAGAATATAACAGCTATCACTATTTTCCAAATAAAAAAATATGCTTGCAGTTGTATATCTTGACCGCTGTTGTGTTGGCTTTTTGTAGGTTTATAATTCTTCAATCTTCATTTCAGTCATACATGCTGATAATGATGCAGCAACATCAGCCAGACTTGAAGTTGAGTTTGAAAATATAAAGAAAAAAGATGACCAGAACCATGTAAAGAAGGGTATATCAACAAGCTTATATAATATTTCAAAGAGGTATTTTTACAAATTAACTTTAGTGTTACGAGTATGTCTATGATATGAAAAGGCTTAAGCCCATCCTTTACCAAATCAAATCATACTTATAGATCTTATTATATTGATCTGTCAAGACTACAAACTCTAAAAAAAACATTACAATGAAATTTCAATTTTGTGTTGTTCAAAGACATGTAAAGATCTTTGCATTTTTGTGTTATCTGAATTCACAAACATTACATTTAAAATTGAAAGAACTATTAGTATATATATGAGTAATCTTCATGGCTTATGGAACGACCAAATAGTTTTTAGTGAGGCTTTATGAAGTTTAGAATAAAAAGGCCGGACTTAAAAAAATAGAAACTAGGACCCTTTTTTTCTGAAAATTAAAAGGCAGATGCATGAATCCATGATTGAAGATTTCATCCATGCCCCATAAAAGTCTGAAGGGTGCTTGCTCCCTCAATAGTATAGACAGATAAGCAATAAAAAAAGAAGACTTTTTAAATTTTTTTTTTACATTAATTATTTGTTTCTTATTTTGTAGTTACAAAGAATTGCAAAAGGATGAAACAAAACAATATATTTTGAGGTGCTTTATGTATTCCATTAAGGGAGGTGACAATGAAGATGACATTAAGATTGGGCTGCAAAGAATTGTACCACATATTTTTGGATCACATGAAAATTGTAAAGATGCTGACTGGTGTAGCTATCATCAAGATCCAGAAAAATTTACGTAAGATCTTCTATACTGGTATTGACAACATATTATTAGCTTACTGGGGCCCGAAGGGCCACATGTGAGCTTATACCATCACTTGGCGTTCGTCTGTCGTCGTCGTAAACTATTTCAAAAATCTTCTCCTCTGAAACTACTGGGCTAAATACCTTCAATCTTTAAATAAATGTTCCTTCGGGTATGTAGTTTATAAATTGTATCCAAAGTTTTGATCCATCGACAAACATGGCCGCCATGGCTAAAAATAGAACATAGGGGTCAAATGCAGTTTTTGGCTTATATCTCAAAAACCAAAGCTTTTAGAGCAAATTGGATATGGAGTAAAATTATTCAATTGGTCAAAATCTATCAGCCCTGAAATTTTCAGACGAATCGAACAACCCATTGTTGGGTTGCTGCCACTAAATTGGTAGTTTTAAGGAAATTTTGCAGTTTTTTGTTATTATCTTGAATATTGTTATAGATATATATAAACTGTAAACAGCAATAATGTTCAGCAAAGTAAGATTTACAAAAAAGTAAATATGACCAAAATTGTCAATTAACCCCTTAAGGAGTTATTGCCCTTTAAAGACAATTTTACACAATTTGTTCATCAAGTTTGCTAACATTTAAAAATCTTCTTCTCTGAAACTACAGGGCCAAATACCTTAAAACTTTAACTAAATATTCCTAGGGGTATCTAGTTTGTAAATTGTATCCGAAGTTTTGATCCATTGACAAACATGGCAGCCATGGCTAAAAATAGAACATAGGGGTCAAATAGAGTTTTTGGCTTATATCTCAAAAACTAAAGCTTTTAGAGCAAATCTGACAAATGGGTAATATTGTTCAATTGGTCAAGATCTATCATGTGCCTAATACTTCTTAACTTTAAATGAATGTTCCTTTAGGAATTTAATTTATGAATTATATCCGAATTTTTGATCAATAAACAAACATGGCCGCCATGGCTTAAAATAGAACATAGTGGTCAAATGCAGCCCTGAAATTTTCAGACGAATCGAACAATCCATTGTTGGGTTGCTGCCACTAAATTGGTTATTTGAAGGAAATTTTGCAGTTTTTGGTTGTTATCTTGAATATTATTATAGATAGATATAAACTGTAAACAGCAATAATGTTCAGCAAATTAAGATCTACAAAAAAGTTAAATGACCAAAATTGTCAATTGACCGCTTAAGGAGTTATTGCCCTTAAAGCTTTAAAGACAATTTTACACAATTTGTTCATCAAGTTTGCTAACATTAAAAAATCTTCTCCTCTGAAACTATTGTGCCTAATACTTCTTAACTTTAAATGAATGTTCCTTTAGGAATTTAATTTATGAATTATATCCGAATTTTTGATCAATCAACAAACATGGCCGCCATGGCTTAAAATAGAACATAGTGGTCAAATGCAGCCCTGAAATTTTCAGACGAATCGAACAATCCATTGTTGGGTTGCTGCCATTAAATTGGTAGTTTAAAGGAAATTTTGCAGTTTTTTGTTATTATCTTGAATATTATTATAGATAGATATAAACTGTAAACAGCAATAATGTTCAGCAAATTAAGATCTACAAAAAAGTTAAATGACCAAAATTGTCAATTGACCGCTTAAGGAGTTATTGCCCTTAAAGCTTTAAAGACAATTTTACACAATTTGTTCATCAAGTTTGCTAACATTAAAAAATCTTCTCCTCTGAAACTATTGTGCCTAATACTTCTTAACTTTAAATCAATGTTCCTTTAGGAATTTAATTTATGAATTATATCCGAATTTTTGATCAATCAACAAACATGGCCGCCATGGCTTAAAATAGAACATAGTGGTCAAATGCAGTTTTTGGCTTATATCTCAGAAACTAAAGCATTTAGAGCAAATCTGACATGGGGTAAAAATGTTTAAAAGGTCAAGATCTATCATCCCTGAAATTTTCAGACAAACATTGTTGGGTTGCTGCCACTAAATTGGTTATTTGAAGGAAATTTTGCAGTTTTTGGTTGTTATCTTGAATATTATTGAAGATAAAGATAAACTGTAAACAGCAAAAAATGTCCAACAAAGTAAGATCTACTAAAAAGTTTTATATGACCAAAATTGTCAATTGCCCCTTAAGAAGTTATTGCCCTTTAAGGACAATTTTACACAAGTTGTTTATGTTTTTTAACTTTAAAAAAAGAAATGAATCTAGTATAAATTTTGTATTTTATTTCCTTGTACGTCAAGAAACATAGAAACTATGACTAAATGGAACATATGGGTAAAATGCATTTATTTGCTTTTGAAGAAAATATGACAGATACAATGAACGTTGAAGTGGCATTTTTAAGCCACTCATTAATATATATTGAAAAGCAAAACTAATCATTGATGAAAGATTTAACCAAAATTTTAACAGGTGAGCGATTCAGGCTCTTGAGAGCCTCTTGTTTTCTGTATTGTCTCATTTCTCAAAGAATTAATAGATATAAGATGTGGTATGAGTGCTAATGAGACACCTCTTCCATCCAATTCACAATTTGTAAAAAGAAACCAATTATACATATGTCAATCCTAAAAATTGATTCCTTAATATGCTGAATCTAACCGTGTATTAAGTTTTTGGATTTTGGCCCGTTTTTAAATTGGTCCACATTGAGGTCCAAAGGGTCAAAAATTAAACTTTGTTTGATTTCATCAAAAAATGAATTATAGGGGTTCTTTCATATGACGAATCCAACTGTGTATTTAGGTTCTTAATTTTTGGTCCCGTTTTCAAATTGATCTACATTAAGGTCCAAAGGGTCCAAAATTATACTTTGTTTGTTTTTAACAA